ACGTGCACAACATACCTCCTGCTTCACCGGGCAAGCCCCCAAAGTCCGGCATCCCCGAACCCCGAAACTCGGTTTCCCCACACCCGAAGCACCCGATAAAACCCAAATGAGCCGCAAGCCCACATACCTTTCATCTAATCAGAGAGGTCGGAAGAGTTACGAGTACGTACTGCTATACTATACTAAAAGCACACATCAAAGCCATCTTCTGGTCATGAAGGCGTTGAAATTATTGATGAATATTATACTAGAATACCTCCCTTTAGCGGCCCCTATGTTGCACGATGTAATTAGGTGTAGAGCCTAGGAGTTGCCGGCTTTCGGGTTTAGCGTGAGCCGCAGTACCTTAGACACTTTGACAGGGTGCCCCATCTCCATGTTCCCCGAGACCCTTGGCCCCAAGCCACTACCGGGATCGGAACAAGGAGCGATAATATCCTCCTATGGTTTCTATACAGTTGCAGCAGAATTTTCCCCAAAACCCTATTCAAACTTTTCAGGCCTTAAACCCTAAACCCTAAACCCCAAAACCCCATTCAAACCATTAAGGCCTTAAGCCCTAAATCCTAAGTCCAAACGCCCGTTTGAGAACTGAGGGCCGGAAAGCGTCGCCCCAGGCCGCCACCTTTCACGAAGGCATCACACGTGTGACGTTGTTGTTTAGGGGTTTTAGGGTTTATGGTGCTTCTAGGGTTTAGGGTTTGGGGTTTAGGGTTACCTGGACCCCCAAAAGTATGTGGAATAATTATAGTAGGCGCAGTTGTTGGCTTTTGTTGTGCCTAGCTTGGGGGGGTTAGATAGGGGTTATGTGCGATTGTTTTTGGTGACTGCAGCAGTGGAAGATCGGACTTGAGGGTGAAGGCTTTGCTGTTTCGGGGTTTCACGCTACAGCTATCTTTCAACATCGCCCCCTCAATGCGGACGATACGCATGATGTTGATGATTACGTTGAGGGTCATTTGCACTCATCTTCACCTGCAGCGTCATCACCAGCATCATGGGCATCATTGTCATCATCATCACCATCACCATCATCATCTCAGCAGCATTGAGAAGCACCATCATGGCCATCATCAGCTCCACCATCATCATGCTTCTGTACCGCATACGCAGTGGTCATTTGTTCCAGCCAGATTGAGCTGATTGTTTGCACTGCTGCCGTTTGGGATGGAAAAAATGTACAACAACATGGATAGAATCATTGTCGGGTTGATGTTAGAGTTGTCTCACCTCGCAGCGCAGACAGCAAGCTGGTATGTTAATTCACAGGGCTTATGATTCTGTGATTCTCGTTATCGTTTCACGATTGTGGCTCTGCTGGTTGTGCTCGTGTTGATGGTTATTCTTGCTCCTGTCTGAGTGTTTGTCCTTCTTGGGGTGGGGAGTGTGCAGCGTGGAGCAACATGACGCATTGTTTTTTCCGCGAAGTTGACGAGGCTGCTGCTATCGCTATCAGAGGTGCTAGTAGTCTTTCGCTTTGGCTGCTGATGCATGTTGCTTTTGTCCTGCACTACTGTCACATTGTGCCGGAAATCTGGAACAATTAATACGGGAGTAAATCTAGCTAGTCTTGCAATCTTGGTCATCTAGGACGAAAAAGCAAGATTGCCAGCAATCCTGCACTCTTGGCTTCATCTTGCAATCTTGCCCATTTTGCCCCACTTGCCCCACTTGCTCGTCGACTAGTTTACCATTTAGACCAAGATCGCAAGATGGCTGCTGATCTCGCTGCCTCCCCAAGTGGGGCAAATGGGGCAAGATTGTTTGGCAATCTTGCTCAAACACTTGTTCCAGATTCCCGGCACACTGTACTATCATCTAGATGCAGATCGCAGCATGTTGCCTCAGAGCTTCTGCATCCTGGTCCTTCGTGGCACCATGCCGTAGTAGAAAGGTGTCTTCTTGCGGGTCTGAGTTATGATTTCTACACCCATGTGTTTGAATACTTGGGGAGTTTGCACTTGTTAAAAAAGCCACTTGACCACAGGCCTTGCCAGAGCAGCCGAATGTGATCTGCTCCTGGGTTGCGTCAGCGGAGTCTTGGTTCTCGGGCTTGGTGTGTAGAGCTTAATATATATATATATATATAGAGGGCCCTTAATAATTAGAATAGGGTATGGGGCCCCATTGTACTGTTACTATAATTATAAGGAGGAGGCCACAAAATAGTATTGGTAACTCTTTCGGCCCCTACATTAACCCAAGAAGGGATGAACTGAGTGCAATCTTGGTGACTGTTGCGTTCTGGTTTCGTGTTCGGACAGGGCTTGCAAAGCAGCGTCTCACAGAAGCAGCAACAGCAGCCGCAAGAACAACGACCACGATCACCTCGCTGATTGGCTAGCTGTCTTGGCTCATTTATGGCGTTGTCTGGTAGCCATGAGCGGCCGTGTCCATAATGACATGATGGAAGGACGGCAGCAGCAACTTGTACGATGATGTAGATATGATGACATGATGACGGTGATGACGATGATGAAGACGAGCATCACCAGCATCAACTTCATGATTGTGGTGATATCATCCTGTGTCTCTTCGTGAATATGATGGTTGTGACTTGTGACGACGGTATGCATGGAGGATTGTTCTGCCACGGTGATGAGGTGATGGCGGATAGCCTTCATTATTGTCATGATGGCGACGTGAGGTTATGTTCGTGCAGAATCACCCCTCTCTGCCCCACAAAGCCTTGAACAAGCTTAAATTTCGGACGGTTTTCATACCCAGACGTCATGGCAAGTAGGCTTAACAACAAGCGCTGCACCCAAAGACAGGCGACGGGGTCTGGAGAGAATTGACATGCTTGCGCTTGCAGAGTACGTGCGCGTTGCGCGTGGTGCTAATTGGCATCTTGTGACATCACTGACGGGAAGCATCGAAGACCACGAGCAGACTAAACCCTAAACCCTAAACCCCAAACCCCTAAACCCCTAAACCCTAAAACGGAAGCATGGGCGCTGTCCGCCGGTGGATCAAAGGCCTTTCACTGCATTTTGAGGACCAGTGAGCCGAGGACAAAAACCTTATCCTTAAAAGGTCTACAGGGGCTAGCATCCCTACTTGAAGGCGGTTCAGGGTGTAGGGTTCAAACCCTAAACAGGAAACCCTAACAAAACCCTAACCTCTAAACCCCAAACCGGAAACCCTAAACCCTAAACCCTATAACCCCATAGCCCTAAACCCTAAACTCTAAACCCTAAACCCTAACCCATAAACCCTAAACCCTACACCCTAAACCCAAAAAGAAACAAACCGTGCGGCTGCCAGCCTCAGGTTTAGAGGCTGACGACACGCCTCAAGGACCTGAGCTTCAGCAGACACTGCCCTGCGCTGAGACGAGATTTAGGTCAAATTTGGGTTTAGGGTCTAGGGGTTTA